CTCCAAAAAACAAAGTTATAAACATAGTGGTAAAGATGGGAATTTAAGTCATTATTTATGATGATATTTAAAAATAAATAGTTTTCTATTCTAATTTATTGCCAATCTTTGATTTTGGAGTTACATTTTTTCCTATTTTAGAAGCTTAAAGGTGCTCTTGATAAATATTATCTAGGTTGTGGTGAATGAATGTAAGTATATTTTATTTATGTCAGTTTGATTACTTTATATTATTTGTTGTTTCATATTTGCTAGCTTTTCTTATAAGAGAATGCATACAATCACCCACAGCAATGGAATTTACGAGGAACTCATCAATATTCAGGATTTCTTTTATAAAACGTTCATGGTAATGGATTTAAATGAAAATTTTCCTTTAGTTTATCTCATTTGTCATTACTCTATGTTATAAAAAATGGATACAACCACCTTCTTTATTTTCTTAAGCCAAGCCCAATCTTTAACCCATTTAGGGTATAATACTCTTAATGCTTTTCGCAACTCTAAGTTTTCCTCCAAGAAAAATTTATAAGATAGGTAAAACCCTAAAATCACCAGGGAGAAAACTAAAGGCGTAGGATATACTCTACATTTAATTAATGTTTTGGTTACCAACTTTGTCCTTCCATTCGTCTTGAAAATACTTGATAAAAGGTACTTCATTTTGAAAATCCACCTCAAAATGTTCAATAAGTTGTTTAATCTCAACTCACATAATATTATCATCATGAAAAGTTGCATGAATTGAATGATACATAATATTTCCAAAACGTTTCCATATTTCCATCTTAATATCCCAAGATTTCACTTTACGAATAATATATTTGAGCCAATTCCTTCTTACATGCCAAATACATAATAGAATTTGACAATCAAATGTAGCTCTATATAGAGGAAAACAATTAAATTATTTCATATCAAATTAATTACCTTATAACATTAATCTTTGTTTCAGCATCATCAATCATTATTGCCCGTAGTTTCCAATTTGGCATATGTTCTCAAACTTATTTTTTAAAAGTTATTATCCAATTCTTCATATGTTCTCCTTTCTCACTAGAAGTTAAAACCCATGCAATTGGAATACCATTTCTATGATAATCAAAAGTAAGCATGGTGTATAATGGGAACTATAAATTATTAAGTATTAATCACTTAAAACTGAATGAAAATTTTACCTTGTAGCGATTAATTCCAAAAGTTGCGTCAAGACTCAATAGATTATTATTTGAAAAGTCCACCATCTTTTGTAGTTGCCAAGTTGTTTGGATCCCAATAATAAAACAATCTTTACCTCGATCACCTCTTGATAGAAAAATACTTTCTCAGGATTTGTGTTCTTCCAAATATGTACACTCTATGCGTCATTCTTATGTAATCGATAAGTTGAAAGTGAATACTTCCTATGCAAATTGTTGATATCCTGCATAGTTAGAAAATCATCTCGATGAGAAGGTTCACCAGCTAACTTGTTCCTTTCCACAATCTGTATATGCTCATTATAAATCTGATTTGCTATGAAATCCTGCTAAATCATATGAATCACCCAATGTCAAATATCTGTTGAAAGCTTTTGAGGAAATAATGACTTTCCTCCAGTCAGATCAAGTTGACCATGACAAGGAACCCCATTTTTATCACAATGCTCTCTATGATAATATATAATCTGCACATAATCAAGCCATTTGTAAAACTGTTTGACCAAAAAATTGCAAAGGCAGCCCCGCTTATTAGAACTTTGACTTGGTCTACTTCCAAGTCCTGACTTTGGTGTAGATTTAGCAATCATAATAGAGGATGTTTCACGAGCATCTTGTTTTCCATATTCACACCAATACCTGTATCAAGAAGTTAGTAATTATATTTTGTTAAAAAAATATACCTAATTAATGATAAAAAGTTTGTATTTTTGGGTTATTTCAAATCTTTAGGATCACGATTTTTGTTAGAAAATTGCCAAAAATCCATTCCATCACCCCTTCTCCTCTCACCATCGAGAAACTTGTTCACATCCTTTTGTAATATATACACTATAGTTTCATTTGATTTAGACAAATTCCAATCTAAATCATCTGCACAAAAATAATCCCTTTCATGGAATTTTTGCACCTCATCAAGCCATGGGGGATTTTAAATGATTTTCTTGAATCAATATGAAATTAAATTGATTGCTTACCTTTGGAAATTGCTGTGCTGCTGCCATGCTTGATCATAAAAGAAACAGAAACGTTTTTAGGTCAATTATGGAGCAACCATCCGGCGTGAATGGGTGGACCAGGGCGCGCTAATTGAAATTTGGCTTGGGGCTGTGGCCACGTGGAAGTAATTTTAGGGCGCACGCTGGGCGCGGGCGGACGTGCGGGGGCGGGTGGGAGTGCGGGCGGGAGCCGTGAGGGCGAGCGGGCGGGCGGGAGCCGCGGGCGGGAGTGTGCAGCGGCGACGGACGGGAGAGGGAGTGCGCTGGAGATAAAACAAAAAAGAGGGCTGATGCCACGTCATCGCCAGGTAAGCGGAGAGAGAGAGAGTGAATCAGGATGGTGTTTAACGGGAGGCTGATTTGGTTCGTGCCTTACAGGACTCGCCTTCTCTTCTTCCGAAAGCCTCCTCCCCATCTCTCCTTCGAGGCCATTGTAGCAAATCTCAAGAGTTCTCTTGCCAAGGCGCTGGTGGAGTTTTATCCCCTGGCAGGGAGATTGCTTGTGAGTGACAGCGAGAATGGACTGCGGATGGATGTGGTTTGCAATGACAAAGGCGTGCTCTTCATTGAAGCTAGTGCTACTGGAGTTACTGTTGAGGAGCTCGCAAAGGATGAAGTGAGTGGTCATTTCGAGGGGATTCCAGCAAAACTAGTGGAAGATCTGGCACAATGTGGAGACTACGATATATCGACAATTCCATGGTCCTTCGATGCTCCTCTGTTCATCATCCAGGTACTTCAATATATATCCGCATTGATAATCAAGTCGAATCGTATGTAGGTGACAGAGCTTTCTTGTGGAGGCATTTGCATCTCCGTCAAGTTCAATCACCAGCTTTTAGATGGAGCTGGGACCTGGAACTTTGTCAAGTCATGGGCCGAGGTCTGTTGTGGTAAATCTATGTCACTCAAGCCCGTGGTCGTGGAAACTCCACCATGCATTGCAGTCTCGGACGATCATCCCACAGATTTTGAGCTTCCAGCAGGGTTTGGAAGGGCCTGCAACGCGGATTTACTGAAATTAAGCACCAAGTCAACATCGCAGTCCGCGGAGTATGACATGAAGTGCTTTGCATTCAAGAAGGAGATGATCCAAAAGATGAAGCTCGAGAATCCAGGGTTCAGCTCGTTCCAGCTTCTCACGAGTTTCATATGGTCCAGAGTTAACGCTGCGAGAGATCTCAAGGATGACGAAACCACTACTCTTGTGTTTGCAGCAAACTGTAGAGGACGGATCAAGACTGTGCCGAAGGGATTCGTAGGAATGGCCGTGGTGTATGATCACGTTTCCACCAAAGTCTCGAGCCTACGAGCTCAGGGAAATGAGCTGAGAAATGGGGCGGATCTTCTCAAGAAAAAGATCGGTGATTTGCTCACGGAGGAAGGCGCGGGTCTCTACTCAAAGGCTGTGAGCAGTGGCGACAGGGGCTTCACAGCTTTTCCTCAATCTAAGATGGAAACAGCATTGATCGTTGGAAGTTCGTTCTACTTCCCGGTTTTCGAGGACTTTGGATTTGGAAAGCCGGTTGGAATGACGCTGGTTCGTCCTTCTGATGATAGCAAGCTATACTATTTCCCAGGGAAGGAGGAAGGTGATGTGGTAGCTTATATTGGGCTCACAAGTCACGCGATGAGAAAGCTTAGTTTTCCACAGGTTTGAAACAATATAAAGTTGTCTCTTTGCCCTTCACCGCGGGACGGCATGGAGATCGAGGCGAGGATCTTCGAGACAGATGTTTCTGATGGTACTGTGATTGTTGACATGCACGGGAAGCTCCAGATAATGGGTCGGGCCATCTCGGCTTTTGGCTGGATCAAGGAATGTTGTCTCCTTGACTGCTATGTTCTCAGAATTTGCCCGGAATGGGCATTACAGAGACGCTCTCTCGAGCTCTCGAGCTCCTCCATGGATTTGGAGGGAGTCAAGCCAAATGGCTTGCCATTTTTTTTTTCCCTGGAAGCCTGCGCCGGTCCCGGGAATAGAATCTGCTGTAAAATTTTCCACTCCCGAAATCGAGGGAATGGAGCTTATGCGCTGGGGAAATGCGGTCACGTTGCGCGATGATGGCGGCGTATGCCCAAAACGGACAGCACAGGGAAGCGCTCCGAGTCTTTAGCGAGCTCGACACGATGCTGGATCGCGAGCGTCTTGAAGGCGTCCTCAAGTTTGGCCATGGCTAGAATCTCGGATCCTTGCTAGTGGAATTCGCGTGAGCGTGATCGTGGTCGTCATCACTTACAGAAAGTGTGGAGCTCTCAGCCTCGCGAGATCCACGTTCAATGGCCTGTGCTGGAACACGATGATCTCCGCCAACTTGCAGCACAGCAACGCCAGGAAGTGCTCAAGCTCTTCAACGAGCTCAAACAAGCCGGGACTTTGAGCGAGCACTTGGGGGGCTGCATGATCGATCTGCTGGGACGAGCTGGGGGATTTGAAGAGGCTGAGAGAGTGGTTGCTCCATGAAACGCAATGTCCCCTCCTGATCATGAATGTCGTCTCTCAATCACCAAGTCCTGGATAAAACCAGGGCATGGCATTTCGTAGTTCGATATAAGCTGCGGCAAATCCCCGTCACTTGTGGTCGTGGAAACTCCCCTGGACAACGAGCAGAGCTGGAGATTTAGCTCCCGCCGATTTTTCATGCGGTGGAAGATTAGAACTTGTTCACACTATCAACGCCATGAAAAGCTTCTCGTTTGCTTCTCGTTTGCCCAGGAGTGAGATTCCACGGCAAAGAGATGGAAGACCCCGTTCTTCTCAGTCAAGTGCTGTGAAAGCTCTCCAACGCTGGAAACTATGACTCTCAGTTGGAGATGTACGCTTTCTCATGACATGAGAAGGAGTTGCCACCTCATAGATCCACGTTGGCTGGAGTTGAGTAGATCAGAGCCACATTGTCCACGCTATGTTTTGACACTCTTGAGACTGTCATGTTCAGGACGGCCTCCATGGACATGCAAGCCACCTCTATATGAGCCATGACTACAGCGCTCTAGGCTCGCCTCTGTCCCACCGTCATAGATTTTGTTTTAGTGCAGACAGGGTGTGACTGGCGGAGTCTTCTAGATCCTTTTGGGTATGTCCTTGAGAGCGTTCCTGGCTGAAAGATCCAGCTCTCTCTCCTCGCCACCAAGGCACTGGCGATAGCTTCGAAGGTAGTAAACGCAGCTGCGATTGCAAGAGCATGTAGGAATAATGATGAACACGACAAGTAAAACGATTCATATCAGAAGCAGTCCGAATTGTGATCAGATCTCTGGTGATTTCCGATTTGATTGAAGTTGTATATATATACAGCCATATATGAATCAATGGGTGGGTTGAAGTGAAATCCATTCTTCTTGCTCCGCTTTTCTTTCATGGTATCAGAGCTCAGTTTCTGAACTCTTTCTTCTCCTTTCTTTGTGCCTCACATCATGAGCTGCAGCAAAGTTGGATTGATCTTGCTTCAGGGAGTCACTGCCTTTGATGGGAGGAGAGGGTTCAACACCTGGTCTGAGAAAATGATGCGCATGCTGCAGATGGAAGAACTCTGGGAAATCGTTTCACCACCGACAATCGCTGCAGATGCTCGTATGCGGCAAGCCCCTGCTGCATTGGGAGCTTCAACTTCGGTGGAAGGAGAAGTCGTGGATGAAGAGGCAATTCGTGCCTTTGTTGCAGCAGCTTGACAACAGCTTGATCCAGGGGAACAAGCTGCGCTGGAGAAGAAGGAATCTCGAGCAAAAGGATTGATTCTTTCTAAGCTTGCAGATGCCCTTATGATGCGTTTGCGTCATAAGAGTGCTTGTGAGATCTGGGCTCATCTCCACAACAAGTATGCTGTTCTTTCCCTCTCCAAGATCAGCACGGTCGAGACTTGCATTCATGAGACCCATTTTCATCCAGGCGAGAACTTTGAAGAGTTCCTCGCCAAGATGCAAGATTTGTGGATGGAGCTTGAAGGCAGTCCAGCGGCGTTCAACGAAAGCAAGAAAGTTCTGGCACTTTGCGAGGCCATGCAAGATTCTTCTTTTAGTTCTTGCATCCCACACATATCATCGAGGCAGAGGAGGCCGCGGAAGAGGAGGACAAGGCAGAGGTTGCGGGTTTAGGGGAAATCCGCAGCAGCAGCAGAATTCAGGGAATTCTGGTAAAGAAGCAGTAGTTCGGGATTGTTTTGTGGGCAAGAACAAACAGGAATGCTGGACCTGTGGGATGCCAGGACACTACTCCAAGGATTGCCTAGTTGCAGCTTGGCTGCAACGCATGAACATAGGGCTCGCAGCAAATGCTCAGGAAGGGGAAACACGGGAACTTGCGGCATCATCTGAGGTAGCAGTTCCAAACGTTTTTGAAAAACTGACCATTGATTCAGGTTCAGAGAGACACCTGATGCAAAGCGGGTCGAACTTTGTGCAGTTGCGTACTGCAAAAGGGAAGTGCATTCGTGTGGGAGATAGAAGCATTTTACCTATTTGCACAACTGGGGATGTGCGAGTTCCACTGGGAAGAAAGTCTTTGCTCTTGAAGAATGCATAGTATGTTCCAAAGATAGTGAAGAATCTGATTTTTGTAGCCAAGCTTACGGATGAAGGTCTGGATGTGAATTTCTCCAAACATCAATGTCAAGTTCTTGCAAATGGTCGTCCATTACTGCATTTTCCCATATGTGGTAACTTGTTTGAGAAGGAGATAGCTTTTGGAGAAAAATCAAACGCGAGATATGCATGACTGCAGATAGTTCTCTCTGGCATTCTCGATTTGCACATGCCAATCCCCCTCTCATCAGGTGTATGCAGAAGCATGAGCTTGTGGATGGCTTCAACGACCACGTTCTTCAAAGTTCAGCAAAATGTCACACTTGCATTCTTGGCAAGCAAACCCGTTGTACTTTCAAACCTGCTGTGATCAGAAGCACTCGTCCCTTGCAGCTCATTCACTCAGATGTTTGTGGACCCATGCAACTGTTTGCTCAGAATGGCACGAAGTATTTTGTGACGCTTACAGATGATTTCTCAAGACACACGGACGTCTTCTTCTTCATCACAAAGATGAAGTCTTCAGCAAATTCAAGCAATTCGTAGCAGAAGCCGAAGTGAAAACTGGTCAGAGGGTTGGCTGTTTACATATTGATTCAGGAGGTGAATATGTCAAGCAGTTCTGTGCTAAATGAGGAATTCTTCATCAGTGCTCTTGCTCTTATACCCCTCAACAGAATGGAGTCTCTGAGTGCAAGAACAAGACAATCATGAATGCAATTCAGTGCTTCCTTCAAGAATCAGGACTACCAAAATTCCTCTGGGCTGAAGCAGTCGGATTAGCTGTGCACATTCAAAACCTTCTCCCTCATTCTCGCAATCCCAACAAGATCCCAGAAGAGCTTTGGACTAGTCAAAGACAATCAGTGGTGCATCTCAAGTGTTTTGGTTGTTTAAGCTTTGCAAAAAGGGTGGATGAGCATCTCGATAAGTTGGAGAGCAGAAGCAAGCTGGCCTTTCTTGTTGGATACGATTCCAATTCAAAAGGATATTGCATATACTAGCCTGGTAATCATCAAATTTCTGTAAGCATGTAAGCTCCTAAGTTTAGACTTCTTGGGAGGTCACCCAGCCCAATACTATTCAAACCCAAAGACGCTTAACCCCAAATATCCCAAGACCCTTAACCGATTGGAAAAGGGGGTGCACTCTTATTCATGAGCCCTTTCCCTCTATATTTGAACCCTTATGGATCGTCTCTCGAGTTGTTCCCTTTGGTTGTTTACAAAGCACTGATGTTCATTTTGATGAATGAACACTCTACAAAGATCATGTTCAAGAAGAAGGAAGCTCAAATCAAAATATGAACTAGACTCCGGAAGAATGGAGTTGGGATGGTGTTGAAGACGATGATGAAGATGACGATGATTTAACAATCATCTATCCCTCATCTCCTTTAGCAGACGATTCTCCAACAACAGTCTCTGGATCTTTTCTTCTTGAAGAACAAGGCAATGCTGCTCATTGTGCATGAACTGGAGAAGTCGACAGGCTCACACGTGATCTACCATTCAATGTGGAGAACTATGGGTGGACATCATCTGGACGATCAAGCAGAGTACCTCATCCCAAGCAATAGTCTTTTGCAGCAATAGAAATAGCTTCTAAACCAGTCAACTTTGAGCAAGCCATTCAAGCTCCTGATGCAAATAAGTGGATTTCAGCAATGCAAGATGAGTTGAATTCTCTTGATGAGAACCAGACTTATGACTTGGTGGAAGCTCCTGAAGGATGTGAAGTTGTTGGATCATGCTGGGTGTTCAAGCTTCATAGAAATCCTGATGGATCGGTACAGCGTTATAAAGCAAGACTTGTTGCTCAAGGATATTCACAAGTTCCTGGAGTGGATTTTGATGAGACGTTCTCACCAATTGTGAAGTAGACAAGTATTAGAATGCTTCTGGCTTTTTCAGCGGAGTTTGATTTGTGTGCACATCACATGGACGTAAAAACAGCCTTCCTTAATGGGAACTTGAAGGAAGAGATATTTATGCGGCAACCCCCAGGCTTTGAGCTTTTTGGATCACGGTGCTCCGAACTAGTCTGCAAGCTTCGCAAGGCTCTTTATGGCCTTAAGCAGGCTTCCCATCAGTGGTATGAATGTTTGGATTCTTTTCTTATGGATCTCGGTATGTAGAGGTTGAACAGCAATGGAAATCTATATCTTCTTCAGCAGGGTGATCACTTTGTTGTGATAGCAGTTTATGTGGACGACTGTTTGATTGTCAGCAACAATGACACTGTTTTGAAGGATGTGAAGATCAAGCTTATGGACAAGTTTGTGATGAAGGACTTAGGAGTTGTGCGGCAGCTATTAGGGATGGAAGTTGACAGGGATGAAGCAGATAGGACAATCACCCTCACATAGTGCCAATATGTGAAGAAGCTTCTCAACCAGTTCAACATGACAAGTTGCAAATCCGTGGCTACACCAGTCATCACTAGCATTAAGTTCACAAGCAAGATGGATGATTTATTTGACTAGCACTCAGTCTACCGATCGCTTGTTGGAGGACTACTCTACCTCACCAACATGACTCGCCCCAACATCTCCTTTGCCGTTGGTCTCCTCAGCCGATACATGCAATCTCCGAGTTGTTATCATTGGCAAATGGCAAAGAGAGTTTTGAGGTATTTGAAAGGAACGGTTGCGCATGGACTGGTTTACAAATGCTCAGGTCAGTCCAAACTTGTTCTTCAAGTTTACTGCGATGCAGATTGGGCTGGCAACTTGGATACACAATATTCAACCTCCGGAATTTGCTACATAATTGCTAGTGCTCCGGTTTCATGGGGAAGCAAGAAGCAAACGACGGTTGCTCTTTTCAGTGCAGAAGCAGAGTACATAGCTGCCAGTACAGCAGCAAGGGAGATCATCTGGCTTTGTCGATGACTTGGAGAACTCAATCAACAGCTATCAAATGCGACCATTCTGCATTGCGACAACAAAAGTGCAATCGCCATGTCAAAGAATCCTGTGTTTCATGCTTGTACGAAACATATAGACGGGCAGCATCACTTCATTCGTGAACATGTAGCAGCTGGAGATCTTCACCTGGAATACGTTCCTTCATAGTATCAGTTGGCAGACCTTCTAACCAAGCCACTTTCGGAGCTCACATTCATCAAGCTGAGGAATCAACTTGGAGTATCAAGCACCCTCAGCTTGAAGGGGGAGTGTAGGAATAATGATAAACACGACAAGCAAGACGATTCATATCAGAAGTAGTCCAAATTGTGATCAGATCTCTGGTGATTTCCAATTTGATTGAAGTTGTATATATATACAGCCATATATGAATCAATGCGTGGGTTGAAGTGAAATCCATTGTTCTTGCTCCACTTTTCTTTCAGAGCAGTCATCATCACTGAAGCAGTAGTGGACACTCTCCTCTCGAGGTGCTGTTTGGACTGAGAAAATGAGGAAGATCGCCATCAAGATCTTCATCTTTGCCATTCCTGGTGGAAACCTTAAGCGGGAGCACGAAACTCTCGAAGTTCACACTGCCTGGTCCTTAGAAACTCTCGAATCGAAATGAAAGAAGAAACACTCTTTACTTTTATGGTGTATCCACCACATCCAAGCACCGAGAACCTTTCACGTGTCCCAGCGATTCACTACTCTTCCAGCAGTGTAATCGTCTTCCAGCTCAAGCAGACACATGACAGGTGCTGCAAGAAGACAAAAGAAAACGATGTGTCACACTATAATCTTCTATGCTAGCTCCACGTTGTTCCTGAGTGCCTCCGATAAGTTTGCGATGGATAGAGCACCGTAGCTCTGCTGCTGCTAATCCATTCCCTGCATATTTGGAGGCAGGTTCGAAAACAGAAGATAAGCTGAAGCTTGAGATTGCTAACAATTGATATTTGTAACTAAATTTAAGACACAATAGTTTTATATTAGAAAATTATAAATTCTTATTTAAGTAATTTATAATAGTTATAAACAAAAAAAATTGTAGTTTTGACCAGAAAATATGTAATTGTTATGTTTAGTTCTTATTTATGACTAAATTTTAAGTCCAAAAAGAAAAGTTATAAACATAGTGGTAAAGATGGGAATTTAAGTCATTATTTATGATGATATTTAAAAATAAACAGTTTTCTATTCTAATTTATTACCAATATGTCTTAATGCTTGTCTTTGATTTTGGAGTTACATTTTTTTCTATTTTAGAAGCTTAAAGGTGCTCTTGATAAATACTATCTAGGTCGTGGTGAATGAATGCAAGTATTTTTTTTTTATGTCAATTTTATTACTTTATATTATTTGTTGTTTCATATTTGCTAGCTTTCCTTATAAGAGAATGCATACAATCACCCACAGCAATGGAATTTACAAGGAACTCATCAATCTTCAGCATTTCCTTTATAAAACGTTCATGGTAATGGATTTAAATGAAAGTTTTCCTTTGGTTTCTCTCATTTGTCATTACTCTGTGTTATCAAAAATGGATATAACCACCTTTTTTATTTTCCTAAGCCAAGCCCAACTTTTTATAATACTCTTAATGCTTCTCGCAACTCCAAATTTTCCTCCAAGAATAATTTATAAGATAAGTAAAACCCTAAAATCACCAGGGAAAAACTAAAGGCATAGGATATACTCTACATTTAACTAATGTTTCCTTATCACCTTGATTAAGTTTGGTCGAGCCTTCTCTCTCTCCTCTAAAGTCAGAAGTTTTGGCTATGGCGCTGGAGTCTTCCAGGATCACAGTGGCGAACATTTGCTTGGTTTCTCCAAGTTACAGCCCGGAGAATGTCAATCTGTTGGAGAGGAAGAAGCAAATGCGTCTCGGTGCTGCTTCTCATATGATTTGGTTCGTGCCTTACAGGACTCGCCTTCTCTTCTTCCGAAAGCCTCCTCCCCATCTCTCCTTCGAGGCCATTGTAGCAAATCTCAAGAGTTCTCTTGCCAAGGCGCTGGTGGAGTTTTATCCCCTGGCAGGGAGATTGCTTGTGAGTGACAGCGAGAATGGACTGCGGATGGATGTGGTTTGCAATGACAAAGGCGTGCTCTTCATTGAAGCCAGTGCTACTGGAGTTACTGTTGAGGAGCTCGCAAAGGATGAAGTGAGTGGTCATTTTGAGGGGAT